TAGATAGATAGATAGATAGATAGAGAGATAGATAGATAGATAGATAGATAGATAGATAGAGAGAGAGATAGATACCACTGTTGGTTGAAGAAAGAATAAAAGCTACACAAAAATGTTTTAAGCCCCTCATACAACCCCACATAGAAATGCAAAAAAGATTCAGAATTTGTTTTAAAAGACGTCTTAGATTTTTCTTTTGTATGAAAAGAACCTGTGTTATAAGTGATTTGTCGGTACCTGACGCTAGAGGGCAGCATCTTATAATAGCTCGCTTATTTCTCACCGGAAACTCAGTGATACTCGAGGAAGAACGAGAGGAGGTAAAACCGTGAAGGACCAAGACAGAAAATCAAAAAGACATTAAATCACAATGGTGAGTGTTTAACTCTGGTCTTTACACAAAACTTTAATTATTGTGATTTAGATTTCAGTAATATACTCATGTTACGGAAGCTCATAGTGATGCCCGCTAACGTTGCGCTAAGCTAAGTATAGTTAGCTACCGAAGCTAACTGAGCCACGGGTTTTACACATTGTGTGTTTGCTGGTTTTTTAACACACAGCTACAGCAAACCCCCTGTATAGTGCTGCATGTGCTGCAGTGGAGATCTGAGCTCTATAACCTGATCCCATCTACAAGCTTTTCATGTCTAATGATGTTTTAATAGGGCATGAAGTTAGTTAACAAATCCCAGAATATAACAATCCACTGTAAATTTAGACGGATTATGTAACATTAGGGATTTAGATCTGTAAAAGGAACCCAAACTGAAAAACATGCACATTACAGCATCTTTCGTGATTGTTTTGTGTTCGAAGGAGTTTTGTCTGTTTTCATAGTAACTGAGTTGAAGGTTGGTCTAGATGATGTAAATTGAATAAATTAAGATTATTTATATAGATTGATTATAGTCAGGACTGCCTGGGAAAATGTGATATTAATAGTCATTTACCAACAAACAAATCGTTACAATCCTAATTCCTATGTATGACTTGTTTTTTCTGTCATTCTGCAGCTTCCCCTCTCTCTGCTGAAGACTGCCCAGAACCACCCTATGGTGAGGAGACACTGAGCTCTGCCTGCCGTGAAAAACATCTTTTATTGAATTGTTATGTTGTAAAAAAGGTTAAACATGATAAATAATGTGTATTTTGTTTTTCTTCTTCCTGCTCAGCTGGTGGAGCTGAAAAACGGGGAGACGTATAACGGTCACCTGGTCAGCTGTGACAACTGGATGAACATCAACCTGAGAGAAGTTATCTGTACTTCAAGGGTAAATACATACATACCAACAAGTATAGACTGTATTTATGAAAAGTCCCTCCTAATTAAAATAAATAAAAATGATGGTGGGTTAACTGCCAAAATGTTAAGTGACCAACCAATTTGGCCTGTCAATTTGTGACATTAGTAAGGAAGAAAAAAGTACCTATTCCAAAAAATACAAGATAGGACAAAGATCTTCTACAGTCTGAAAAGTTAAATTAAACTTGTTAATAAAACAAAAACAATGCTAGGTTTTAAAAAGTGATATTATGATAAGGATTCGCTGACACTTCTGCTAACTTCTGACAGGATGGAGATAAGTTCTGGAGGATGCCTGAGTGCTACATCAGAGGAAGCACTATCAAGTATCTGCGAATCCCAGACGAGATCATTGACATGGTGAAGGAGGAGGTGGTGTCAAAGGGCCGTGGACGTGGAGGTGCCCAGCAGAACAAACAGCAGGGCAAAGGGAGGGGAGGAGCTGGCCGAGGTGAGTGGAAAATCTTCCTGCACTCCAGACTTCTGCAGGGGCATTTGTTTGTGCCTACTGTCACAATATCAATAGTTTTAGAGCAAATTTTGTCATATAATTAACAGACTTATGTTAATTTCTGCTCCCCTCATGTCTGTGTGTAGGTCTGTTTGGTGGTCGTGGCAGAGGACTGAGCGGTCCCGGTCGGGGCCAGCAGCAGCAGCTACAACTACCGCAGCAGCAGGATAAGAAACCAGGCAAACCACAGGGAGTGAAGAACCAGCACTGACAGACAACATGGCACCATCAACAGCGCACCCTCTTATTCAGTCATTACTTCTTCTGTACACCTGTGGTGTTTTCTTCAGCTGAGATGTTTGTCAGGACTGACCGCTGCAGGAATCACACTGGGAGAAGTTGAGAGAAACTGTGCATATGCACTGAATTTTTGTTTTTAGCATCTTTAAGTTGGTATGAACATTTTTTATGACAATATACCAGTGTATCAGCCAGCGCTGATAGACTAATTTACTGTTCATTTGTAATATGAATCATTACAGATTTACAGCTTGTATCACAAAAATCATTTAGATATTAAGAAAACACTTGTTCCTCAGTTGGTACACATTTTTATGTGGTTGTTTGCTTGTCAACTTGTCTCCTCGGGTGTAGTTTTGATTGGTTAAGAAACTGCCCAGCCCCAACTTCTGTTGCATGATTTTTTTCCTTTGTTAAATTGCTCTTTATTTCTGTGTTTTGTGACGTACTGTCGTTTGCAACATTTTTGTTTGGCTGCCGATCACAGCAGGTGAACAGTAGACGAGCAGTCGCAGGAGTTGGCCCTTGAAAATGAACACTTCTGTTAAAGCATTTATAAGGCAACATGTGTCGATCATGCAAAAAAAAAAAGTTTCTCATGTTCTTAAGTCTGATGTGGATCAGTCCAACATGTGTCACGTTGTTTGGACATCATTTTATTTTTGTATCAAAAGACAATGTTGTAAGTTATTTACATGAAAACATGAGAATAAAACAATTTTGTTAAAGTGGTTTTGTTTATTTAGAAAAAATCTGATTCAATACTTTACTGCTACAAAGCTCAGTTGTTTGGAATTTGCCTCAGTGTCCCCAACAATCACAGCATAATGCATAACAAGAAGAAAAAAAACCACATAACCCCCTCCCCATAAGAACATAATTATAATGATTTTATCGGACAAAAATCTGCTGGAAATTTATCACAAATACTTGCATGTAGTAAAAAAAATGTCAAACAATCCTGGAATGGTTAGATACAGACACAGACATTTCTATCAAGGAACAATTGACGTCTTCCCTAGAGACCACACAAGACAAGTAAAAAAATAACCCTAACAATACCTTCTTCCCTTTTATCCTTTGCCTCTCCCATAGCTTCAGACTCTGCTTCTCCCTGCCTTCCCATCAGGTGTCACTATTGAGTCACCAAAAATATAACCTGGAACCTCACAGCCCTCCACCCCCACACCTCCTCCTCCTGGTGCCGCTGCTAGTCTGAACGGACCTGATGTTGCTGAAATGCCTTGCAGCTGACAAATTAAAAAAGTTTTGCTCCTGCTCTGCTTCAGTTGTTTTAGATCAAACCTCTGAGGTTTGATTCAGATATTATGGTGTTAAGTAAAGACTACGTGGTGAAAAAGACGACCAGAGGGCAGAATAACCTTCGAAATTTAATTAAATTCAACATTAAGTCTTTGCCAAAGCAGCTGAATTGCCCCGAAGGTTTATTTAAATGGCACTGAAATGAAACACACAGATGGTTTGAATGTGGGGAATATTTTTTTTCCCTCTCAGAATGAATGCATGCATAAAATCCAAGATGGCATTTGTGAGGGAGGAAAATAACACTTTCCACTCCCTCTGAAGTCAGTGTTCAAAGAGCGTGCAAAATCATATCATCTCATTGCGAGGCTGAATTGTTGACCGTGCTAACAGGCTTGGACTTTGTATGTGTGTGTGTATGTGTGTGCATGCAGGCATGTGCAGAGCGTGTTGGGGCTCATCTCAGTTCTAGGTTATTGAGTCCTCCTCCTCTTCTTTTCCGCCTACACATTTCTACCTCACACACTGCGCTCGCCAGCCAATCGCTGCCTCTTTTCCTTTCTCTTGCCTTCACCTGCGTCACTCTGCTTGTGTTGCCATGGTGATCACAGATGCTCCCCCACACTTTATCTCTCTGGCTCTTCCAGTATGAGGATGATGCTGACTTGTGGCTGGTGATGCAGGCAGGCTGCAGACGTCATCACTTCCCTTGGGAGGGAGGCCTATTTTTACCACTGGGCACAAAGCATACCGAGCTGCCCAACATATTTATGGAACCTCATCTAATCCCAGCCTGCCCGGAAAACATTTTTCTCCCGACTCGTTGAATCTCTGTCTCTTTCTCTCCAGTCATCTCACAGACATGCAGTTCTTTTTGAGGGCATTTTGAACTGAGATGACAGGTTTTAGATCCTCTTCTTTTAGTATCTGTTGCTCTGTGTTATTGTGAAACTGAAACGGGATTCCTCACTCGTACTCACCCTCCACGGGGGGGGGGGGGGTCAGAGGTCAGTTGTCACAGTCATCATGGGAGCAGCAGTTCTGTGAGGGTAACTCACTGTGTAATACCACGTTATCTGAGGTTCCAGGGAAAAATGACAGTGAAGGAAGTCTGCACTATATCAAGTTTGCCAGTAAGTTTTCAGACCATAAATTCAGTATTGTGAGAATCTCTATAATAATCCAACCACAAATTGGAGTCAGATTTGTCTGGATACTTTTGTGAGATTCAAGAGATCTTTATTTTAACAGTACAAGTACAATGACATTTTGTGTAGAGCAAGACTGTAGATGCCTAAATGGTCACTCTCTAGGCTTGACATGAACAATAATGAATGTTCAAATGTGGGAAAATGTTCAGGTTTTATTTTGCTCTAATCCAGAAATACATGCGCTGATGTAACAGTATCACGGTCCAGAAAAAGATGTATAATCAAACACTTTTATTTGTTTTTCTACACAAGCTGATGTGTTACGATGAAAAGGTGTGGGCCTGGTTTAAAATAGTCTGAGTGTGTTTGTGTGGGAGCAAGTGTGTTTTATACAAATCAATATTACACACATACACACAAAGACACACAGAATCTAACTGTGTGCATTTATCCCTTCATGAGTGTGGAACTTCACCTACACAGTGAAATTGTTGGGCTATTGATCCATTCCGAACAGCACACAAAGAACACACAGTCAGTCAGTCTTTCCCCCAAAAGGAATTCCTAGAGTTGCACTAGTTTTTAAACAACAAGTAACAACAAGTAATAGAAATAGTTATGTAAAGACTAACAAGCTACAGAGCGACAGGATCACATCCTTCACGTCCAAAGGCCTGTCCAGGGTTTGTTTCAGAACGTTATAGAGCGGTCAGATAAATGAGACAATCATATATTCCTGAGGAGCCAGAGTCCTCAAAGGTTTTATATCAGCACCAAAAAAGGAGATGAAAACCTTGTGAACGTTTTGTTTCGTATCTGTTTTTGTTTATGAGCACACATGCCCACACAAAGACACATACCTGCCATTCGGATACTGTATCACTGAAAACCTTTAGTGAACTACTAGAAGAATTATTATTATTTCAAGGTCCAGTGTGTAAGATTTAGGGGAAAGGGATCTATTGGCAGAAACTAAATATAATAAAATCCTAGTGATGTTTTCACTAGTGTGTTTCATCTAAATTGTACAAATTGTTGTTTTCTTTACCCTACAATGGCCCTTTATATTTAAATACTTTATATTTACATCAGGAGCGGCTCCTCTACGGAGGCTGCCATGTTTTTTACAGTAGCTCAAACTGGACAAAATAAACACTTTTGGAGTTTTTATGATGACTGAAGGTACCACAGGTTCTCCTTCATGTTTGGAAGGGGAGGGGGAGGTGAGGTGTACTCAGCTGCAACATGCAACTTCACCACTAGATATCACTACATTCTAAATACTGAACCTTTAATATTCACAGCCTTGTTCACTTATCAAAACATTTGCCAGCAAACATATCACCTACTGTCTTTGTTGGGCTTTAATTAGAATGAAGTTGTACTTGGATATTTAACTTGAATTAACAAACAAGCAGTTAATGTGAAACAGTCAACGTTTAAGCCACAATGCTGACACTTGGTTTTTACTAGGGGAAAAAAACGGTGACCTCTTGTGTGTTTTGTTGACCCATCCATCCAAACACAACAATCACTACATTCAGGTGGTAACACACAAATAAAAACATAAGTAAGAATCAAATCTGAAAATTATAAAAATGAATAAATGATAAAACAAAGAAGAAATGATGAAACAAATCGTTTTTTGTGCTTTCACCAAAGAAGCTTTGAAGCATACCTTGTCACTGTTAAGCTTATCTGCAAAATGATTTACAGTATTTACAAAATATCAATAATGAGAGATACTACACAGTTGTTGAAAGGAGTATCTAAAAAAAATTTGGGAAATTATCAAACCTGACGAATACAATAAGTTCAGGATTTAATCAACATTTATGGACATTATCATGAGAAGGAACAAAACTTCAGTTTCCAGATACTATAACTTTTGTCTTGTTAAACCCTTTGCAAATGTAAATTGTTCACGGTTTGTGTTGGTTTTTTTTCAAAATAAATTAGAAAGGGAAAAGGAAATGAAAGTGTGCATGTGAGAGAGTGGAACATCCTTTACCAGTTACTGCAAAACCTTTGTTTCTCCACTGCAGGCTCAGAACCCCCACTCTCTCTCCGACAAAACTCTCTTTTTAGACAAAAATATTCTCCTCTGTTGGTTTACCACCACCCACCTCCATTTCCGCCACCACGTAAGGAGATCTGACATCACAGGGTCCATCATGTGATCCACCCGCAGAATGCTTTGCAGTGATGGAGAGGGCCTACCTTTGACGCACATACATCTGTAACCCTTTACTAGCCAGACGACTGGTAGTAAAGGAAACAAGGGACATTAACACATCACATGGCAGTGATTCATTATTAGGTTTTTAGGTAAATTAATTGATTGCTGGTTTATTTGAAAGCTCCTTGCATCTGTGTATTAATTAAAGTATTATTATTTAAACTGATAAAACATAAACAACAAAAGAGGAGGTAATTCACTACAGCTTTATAAAACATAGTATTTTTTAAATAATTTTCTTTGGCTTGAAGTATGCTGGGCATAAAAGTGTGCTGTATTTATTTGAGCTCAAATCAGAGATAGTCTGTACAATTAACCAACAGAGCTTCCACTCTCTGAAGTGCTCATTAAACTTACAAGGAAGATTTCCACCTAATTCATCCCTCAGGGACATGGAGAACAAACCCACTAAAAGGAGATGGTGGCGATATGTCATTTGAAAACACTTCCACTTAATCAGCCTGATAAATAGCAAAATTGAAAATGTAAAAACTGACAGTCAAAATGATATTGACTTAAAAAAGAAAAAGTGACATGGAAAAACACATCATGCATCTATCACGTGTTGGGTACTGGCATGAAGTCAGAGTCAACCCCAGACTGTTAACTGACCAGAGGAAGTGTAGAAATCACATCAGTTTCAGATTCAACTTCCTCATACGTGTAAACTTCCTTTTCACATTCAGTTTGAATATATATATATATAATATTCACATCAAACCTTAATGTACCACCTCACTCTTTGTATTCTATCCTTCATCCCCATGGCAACAGATCTGGTACCAAAGAACTGACATGCAGTCAAAGAAATCAGTAGTGGACGTGAACAAGGATCAGAGATTTGTCTCTTGTGGGATCAATTGTTGTAATTTGGATGTTTTTTCAGTTTTCTCTAAGAAGTTAGTTGAACAAAACCTGTTGATCAAGGTCGCTGCTGGTAGAGTCCTGACGTATTATACAAGTCCTCTGATCACTGCACTGCTTGACAGCGTCAGAGAGCTGATTTACAGAATGTATGATTGTCCGGCTGGTTCAGGTTCAACATGTATATGTGAATATGAATCTTCCAGACTTCTCAGGTTCTGCACGTGGAACGCATGAAATGATCATATTCAAGATAATGGGGATTACGTTTAAATATAATTTGAAGAAGCTGATGCTTTTGTCATGAATTTTGTCACGTGTATGTCATCGTTTTTTAACTTTTACACTTCCTTCTTAATGCTGTGTATGTTGCTGTTCCATTACCTCTGAATGCTTCTTTTAATTCTGTTGTTAGTTCCATCAATCTATCATTTATCTCATAGTCTTTACTCCTGTCTGCTCTCATCAACTTTTACTCATTTTGCAAAGCTGGTGCGTATCTGAATTTGTTTTCATGTCTGTGGTTGCTAGTGCTTGTGTGTTGTTTTATTGGATCAAATCGTAATTTGCTTTGTCTTCTGCTTACACATCACTACATTTTGCTTTTACTTAAATTATATTTGCCTTCATCATGATAAGTGTTTTAAACATATAACATGTTATCTGTTCTTATTTGATTTTAGGCTGCCACATTTATGATTTTCCAGGGACCACAGTTATTAATATGCACTGTCTCATAATCTTAGATATAAAATAAAAAACTAACATATTCCTATTTTTGATTCATCTCCATCACAGACTTTACTTTGAATGTGACTGTGTACAAACTGTGCAGTATAAAAACCTGTGTCTTGCCAAAGAAACTGGAAAAACTCATGTAAATACAAACACACATCCTCAGGCTACATCCCTCGGACATGATTGTGTGCCTGCAGAATGAGGCTCAGAGTGAGACCTCCCTCCTGCCTCCTCCTCCTCTCTGATCGGTTCATCGCTTTATTCATATAAAAATCTGCCCAACGTAATTTCTGCCCAATGCGCGCGCTCGAACGTGACATAATGGAACGTGCGAGCCTAGAAAAGCTGGAGGCTGTGCGCGCGGCCGAGCATTAGGTTGAGATCCAGCTCCAGAGTCACAGCTTCGTGATATTAAACAAAATCTGAGTTTAACAGGAGGTGTTTGATATCTGCTATGGGCAGGACTCCGCTCTGAGAACCACCTCATCCTCATCACCCGGAGATCATGATGAAGAAGGACATGGACCTGAGTCTGGCGGAGGACGCGGACCTCAAACCGCATCTCCGCGACGCCGAGAGCATCCTCAGCTCCCCGGAGCTGGGGCTCCTGAAGCTGGCCTCCCCGGAGCTGGAGCGGCTGATCATCCAGTCCAACGGGATGGTCACCACGACGCCCACCAGCCCCCAGTTCCTCTACCCGAAGACGGTGTCGGACGAGCAGGAGTTCGCCGAGGGCTTCGTGAAGGCGCTGGAGGATTTGCACAAGCAGAACCAGCTGAGCGTGGACGGGCAGAGCCAGAGCAGCAGCCTGGACCTGGGAGCCAACATCGTCCCGGTCACCCTCCAGCCGGATCTGCCGGTGTACACGAACCTGAACAGCTACGGCACCGGGCCCCTGGGAACCACCGTCAACTACACCACGGACACGGTCCCCTTCCCGCCTCCTCCGGCACATCACCTGGGGGCAGCGCCGCCGCAGCCTCCGCCGGAGCTGTCGCGGGTCCCTCCGCTGAAGGAGGAGCCTCAGACTGTCCCCGACGTCCAGAGCTTCGGGGAAAGTCCGCCGCTCTCCCCCATCGACATGGACTCACAGGAGCACATGAAAGCCGAGAGGAAGAGGCTCAGGAACAGGATCGCGGCGTCCAAGTGTCGGCGGCGCAAACTGGAGCGGATCTCCAGGCTGGAGGACAAGGTGAAGACGCTGAGGAACCACAACACCGACCTGGCGTCCACGGCGAACCTGCTCCGGGAGCAAGTGGCCCAGCTGAAGCAGAAAGTCCTGAGCCACGTGAACAGCGGCTGTCAGCTGTTGCCACACGAGGTTCAGGTTCACTAGTCAGGGGGACGGAGCTGCCACCGACCAGCACATAAGCTCCATGGACTCTTTTATTCTGTATGTAGCCCAGATGTGAGCTCTTCAGCTGGGACATGAGCGCCAGGCCACGTAGGCCGAATTGTACATTAATAGCCGGCTGCTTTAAAAAGCTCTTAACCGGCTTTAAAATGCTCTTAACACCGGGGAACATGTGGTAAAACACATTAAAAGACAATCACAGTAACAATGAGACTACCCGGCTGTATTCGTCTCATGTGGACAAGTTTTATGATCTAAAGGAATTTACCAGGATCCACAGGCTTCATCTGTCGCCTCCCCCTGGTGGTGTAAAAGAATCAGCATTGAGCATTGGTTTATTAAATAAAAAATGTTGGTTGGTTTATTGTACTCATGCCGAAATAAAGAACATATGCTGTTGACATGTGTTATGTTAAAACTGCTGTTTTACCTAATATCTATTTATACTGGTGAAGAAAGCATCTTTAAATGGATAGTTCTTTCAATGGAGTATGGCCATAGCGTTTGCAGATGGAGGGGAAAGAGGCACTTAATGGTGCTCAACTTCAGTAACAGACATTTTATTTCTTGTAAACATTTTTACAGACTTTCTTTAAAGTCTTTGGACCAACACTTCTGAAGAATATGCATTGAGGCCCATGAGACCCCCATATGTGAGGAACTGGCTGCGAGACAGATGCATATGCAACCCACATTTGTTATATAAGGGTTAAATCTTCATATGTGACTTACATTTTTCTGAAGGGAAACATTTTTGCATGTTGTTGACAGACTCGAATGTTGCCCACAGCTGATGTCTTAGGGCACAACAACTGAGTGTTTATCATCTTTAACCTTTGCAGACACTTGTAATTATCTATTTTTATTCTTCTGTCTTATTTCAGTGTGTTCTTACTTCAATAACACTGACTGTTTGTGTCACTGCCAACCTTGTATCATTTGGCTTCGTGCCCCATGTGCTCTGAATTAAATGCTGCCCGGCAATAAATATTTAATGTATATGCAATGTACTTTGGTGAATCTCTTGTGTTTGCATTCATGTTGAAAAAGTCTCTGTGTGCAGTAGTAAACCTGATATTATTTATGCTAGTTATGGATATGACCTTATCTGAACACAATATAATATTGTTGTATTATAATTGTTATTATATATAATAACATTATGCATTAATCAAACTAAGTGGACTGAAGAATTGATTTGGTCTGTAATTAGTCTCAAGGATAACATTAGAAATCAGAGTTTTTCTTTTTAATTTACAATATATTAGTATCAAGACGGTAATAAATAATTTAGTGGGTTTATGCAGCATTTTGCTCATTGAATGGAGCCTGAATGAGTGAAGTCAGTGTTGTGTAATAACAAGGTTTGGGCTACAGAATTTCTACATCGTAGCATCACCCTGGTGTCTCTCTCCCTCTGCTGGTTCGTTGAGAAACTTGCAGAAGATGTTATATCACCAGTGGTTTCAAAGCCTTTTTCTTGTGAGAATAATGCAGGTTGTGATGTAAAATGTAGGTATAATCGCCCCTCTGAGGGGTCTTGGAAATGGAGAGTATTAGTTTTCACTTATTGTATCCAAAGAAGAATGAAACCCCTGAGGAATGGCGAATGCTTGAGGTATCAAAGAACAATATTGCAGGAAGAAGGCAAGTATAATTTCAAAAGCAATTGAAAATTGTGTTAATTTTTGTCTTGTGATCATTCCCATCATCCATCTGACACCTGCTGATTTTAGGAACATTTAATTAGACTTTTAAACACATTTATTATTTAGTATATGTGTTCACAACAACACTTTCTTTCATTTTTACATTGAACTCCTTTGAAGAGTAAAACATCTTGAGGTGGTGACAAGTAGCATCCAAACACTTCCCTAAATAAAGAATTTTGGCTGCTTTACCTGGATGACCCTGATCTTTCATAATTCCATAGCTGTTTGTAAGATCACTTCAGGATATAAGAAGTGACTGTAACAGTAGGATTCTTATTTCCACACGAACAAAATCTTGAAAATTCCAGAGTCCACTGATTGTTAGCAACTTTTTTTTTATTGTTTTACCACAAAGTACAGATAAAAACATCCACAGCATATTCTCTCATCTTAACGGCCCAAACCGAGGAGGATTTGAAGAGGCAGTGATACCAGACCAAATAAAGTTCTATGTTTCTGCGTGCTAGTAGAAGATCTAATGTCGGCAACCTCTACCAAGCTGGGTGGCATTTCTTTTAGTGCAGACACTGTAGAGTGTGTGTATTGCTTCATAACTGAGTGACACATCCATTCACAAGCAGGTCTATAGAAATGAATGCAGATACAGTACAACATGGCTCTTTTGGGGGCTTCAAGGTTTTTACTGACTTTTTTTCTCTCCTTTTTTCGTTGATGTTGCAAGCCTGAGTTGATACAACACAATCCACACATATGACTCAAAGGTACAATATTTACAGATCTGGTTTATATAGAGAGGAAGACATATTACATAGGAGAACGGTTTTAAAAGTTTAGATTTTACTGGGAAAGAAACAGTCACAACCAGTAAGAAGAAAAATATAAGCAGGGGGGAAAAAATAAAATCTGAAAAATTATTTCCTAGGTTTGTTGTGATAATTTACATCAATTTCATCACTTCCTATATGACAATAGAATCACTAATATGTGTGGGGCCTCATTTCTCACACTTTAATATCCTTCCAGGTTTATTATGCTACACATGACAATTAAACCTCACATCAATTCGACTTTTCCGATTCAGATTTAAGCTTTACCATAATTATGACTTCCAGAGTATCATTTGGTAGTAATGCAATCTTTATCATCATTGTCATTGTAAACAATGAGTTTAATAACCAGAGTTTATTTATGTCCACCAAACAGGACTTTTATTGTTTTATTACAATTTAAACTATTAAACCCGGATCCCGCATCTAATTCTGGTATTCTACTGCAACAACGATGAGCTGCTTCGACAGTGATCTAGGGTGAAAGTGATACACTGGAATACGTGGGAATCCAGTTTGAACTGTTGGGAACTGTATTAAAACAAGTGTGCAAATTCAGTCAGTTTCTGAGGGTAGGAAGGGTAATCTGCGTCCAGAGTGTCGACTCAAGACAACCTCCGAAAAGGATATTCTGTGATGATTCAAAACAAAGTGGTAGAAACTCAGCAGCTGTCTGGTCTGTGAACATGCAGCCTCCAGCTGTTTGATGCTTGCTTGACTTTAAACAGTGGCGTCCATCATTCACCTGGAGATAACATTACACACAGACAAGTAAACGCAGGTCCACACAAGAGGCCGCCAGTATCTAATCAAGCTGCTCTGTAATACTGATCCTGAAGACGTCTTACTATCATTTAGAGTGTGTTTGCAGTTTGACAAATTTCTCTTATGTCCATGAGATAATATGATGTCTCTTAGTGGCCCTCAAAAACATGTAAGTGAACATGAGCGATACCTGAACAGCAAACGTACAACAGGCCTGAATCCATTCAGTGCAAATTAAGATTCAAAATCCAAACAGATGCCGGATATGTGAAATCCTGCCTGTCGTTTTGGATCTAGACTGATAGATGTAATTTATGCTACAGTAAGATTCTTTTCCTTGTCTTGAATCTAACCATCCTCTCCGGTGCGGTCAGTTTAATCTTTGCTCTCCGAGGTCTTGACGTCTCAACATCAGCGAGACAAGTTAACTGCAGTTGTTCATAAAAATGATTCTGGTTCTGATTCATTTAGAAAGAAACTGCCATCATTAATTACATGGTAAGATGTTACACTTCCTCAGCAGCAGGGCTGAAAATCACACTAAAGTGGATTTGGAGGATGATAAACATTTTGGTAAATTTGTGACTTGTAATTCACACTCAAAGTGCCGCTCAATGGCTTTTTTCTCAGAAGGAAGTTTGAAATTCTGACTTGCAACATCCCTGGTGAGCAGCATGAGATCAAACCAACGGGGAAAGGACGCAATCCACACACATCTTTCAAACAAACCCTACAACATATACCTTTTTTATATTTGATACTATCCTCATTGAAGTTCATTCCTTTTAAAATTCATTTTCAGAAATGCATACCTGTAGATATTATATATTTATATATATATATTGCACAACATTAATATGTACATTTGAAATAAATATAATTAAATAAAATGTGTCTTCATGTTTTACTATTTTTACTATATCCTGTTCATATTTTCCCCGACTGAGTGTTAAATGTATGAAAATAATAACTGGGGCATCAGAATACAAAAAATGTTTGCTGAAGAAATGTAAAAAAAATAAAAAATAAAAGGCCAGATGGAACAAAACACAAGTCTTCCTGAAACCTGCAGCATCCATGTTTAGATACGAGGCGAGGAAAAAAGTAACGCAGATCCATGTTTATATGATTCCCGATGCATCCAGAATCATATAAGAAATATAACACATCGGTATGGAGCAGCTTTCAACTGAATCCTCCCTCTCGCATATAAATAACTCAACTGTGACCTTATTGGTCCCCAAGGCTGACATCTTCTCAAAACATGAAACGAAGCACTGTAAACATGGGAAGGATTTAAATGGCACTCTGAGGACGGACGCCGTCAAATCCTTCTTGATAAACCACACTGAGGAGCAGGGAGACAACGGAAAACAGGTCTGGAAACTGAAAGAACACAGATTGTAAAGAGTCTGAAACACTTTGGTTTAACTGAACTTGCTTTAGCATCAGACACAGCATTGATCAAAAACCCCAACACATTTAGGCTCCTGTATGCGGAGGAACCAGAAGCAAACACAGCTTAAGCACTGGTCCACAAAACTCTCAGAGCATTTCAGACATTTTTCAACCTGACTCTTGTGACTATGAGCCAATGATCCTTACTGAGATACAGACAGAAGCAGGAAAGTAAGTGAAAAGGGTGATGGAGAATAGACCCGGGGCCTGGGATCCAGCTGAGGGAGAAGTAGAAGAAGGAGCAGGGAGGGAGTAGGGAGTAGTCAGCTTTAACATGCACAGTCCTGGTGAGGTGGAGCGGGCTGCTCTGTCAGCTGGGGCCCCTGTTTGGCCCCTGTGACAGCGGGATCTCCTGCGTCCAGGCTCTCAGACATCTTTTCACAGATGATGTCGACCAGGCGCTCGAAGGTCTGCTTCACATTGATGTTGTCCTTGGCACTGGCCTCGAAGAACTCAAAACCTGGAGGTGAAGGAGTGTGTGTGTGGCATTAGAGAGGTTTTAAAAGTGTTGGATGGATTTAAATTCACATTTTAATCTAATGATCTGATTCCTGTCAGCTGTATTTTTTTAGATTAAACTCAGAGGTGGTTAAATACCGTGGGAGCCAAGTAGGACAAAACCTTCATGTGGGCCACCAGTGAGAAACTAAAATTACTTTATCTGGTGTGAGTTCAAGGCTCTCAATGAGTGTGAATATGAAAATACTTTCGTATACCTTACATTCTGACATGGTGTGAATACAGAATAAAGCTAAACAAAAGCCCATTTATTCGTTTGACATTATGGGAAATACACTTATCGGTGCAGTATATAATCCATCGTTTAATCTATAAAAAATAATGTAAACACAACAGATTGTGGTTTTTGAGTGAATTATTTAACTTGTCCATTTAGACCCTGGTCAGTTTTGGTATAAACATCTGTCCTGAGTGATCGATCACCAGTGGGCACCTTTAAATTGGTCTGTTCAAGCAGATGTGATGAGTTAGTCAGTGTGGATACTGTGGCAGTGACCCAAAACAAATCCTCGTATGGGCACTGAGAAAAAATACATTTCATTTTGAAGTTGTTCAGAGGAGTGGGCGGTCCTTCATATGTGGCTCAGGTATGTCCTTCAGTAAACTCTGGCCAGTGTACACAACTGTGAGTCATGTGTTTGTACAGTGTGTGTGTGTGTGTGTGTGTGTGTGTGTGTAGACTCACCGAGGTGTTCCGACAGCTGCCGGCCTCTATCTCCGCTCACCACTCGTTCGTCCTCCATGTCACACTTGTTTCCGACCAGCAACACCTGGGCGTTGTCCCACGAGTACGTCTTAATCTGAGTGGACCTGGGAAGCAACACACACACACACACTCTGAGTGGAAACTCAGGGGCTGTGACATCTCACTGCAGTTATTTCAAATAACTCTTTAAAGGACCAAACAACTGAAAGACATTTACATATAAGAATATTCTCTCCAACTCAATCACCTCATGACCCCACAGATTTATCCTGCAACCCTTTGGGGGTTACTTTAAGACGGAGAAATTACACCACGATCATCCTTTCCCTTTCCAAGATACAGAGAACAGAAGGTCATTTTGACCTGAGCCAAAGTTCCGTCAGGAGACAAAAAGGATAGGAGATAGTGATCACTGCAGCATCCGGTTCTTCAACAAACACAGAGTACTGGGATGCAGCAGACCATTAAAACAATATGTACTGAAACCTGAACCGGATCATCTTCACTGTTCATCAATCAGCAGTATCATCTATTTCAAGCCTGGTGCTGATTATCTCGATATAACTTGATATGAGGCACGTGCACACACATGCACACACACAAAGATTAATTATCATTTGTCATGTGACCTAACCCCCACCAAGCCAGACACGCACCAGTCCTGGACGGCGTTGAAGGATTCCTCGTTGGTGATGTCGTACATGAGGATGAAGCCCATGGCTCCTCGGTAGTAAGCGGTGGTGATGGTGCGGTAACGTTCCTGACCCGCTGTGTCCTGGAAAAGACGTAAGCAGCTGATTGAGGGACATTTTTATGAACTCTTGTGTCATGTCACATGATGTCATTTCACAGTCACCTCTGACAAATTAGGTTCAGGATAAACTTCTAGATGTTAAGATGCTGAAGAGCTGTTGACCACTGCAGAGTAGAAAGTGATAGAAAAATGGTTGGCTGGATCAGCAAATGTGTAAACCAACACTGTAAAAACTAAATACAGCGTGTGTTAAATACAACTTTTACATACATACCAGCCACTGTGACAAATGGCACACCACTGATTGCTTGTTTTATGTTACTGAATTTTGGTTTCATTGGTATCATTACATTTTCAGAGATTTTACACAGTAAGTGGACAGTTTAAAGGATGTGGGGTGTTATTATCAGACCACATAGTTTGCACATTACTTTGTTTTTCTGATTTATCTAAGGACTTTTTCAGATATAGAAAATCTGCAAAGGTCCCAAGAGACAGGTGTTAGAATAATTAAGTTTCCAGCCATCATTTCAGAAATGCTGGGCTTATCGATGAGTCACAGACAGACACAAACTCTGAGGATCAGACATTAGATTTAACTGACTGACACACCGTGCCCACCTGTTCCAGTAAAGCCAGCGTATATAAAAGGTCTCTGTTGGTTGTAAAATCTGCCAGTAGGTGACACTTCATCCGCCCCTGCTCTTGTCTTTATCTCTGCTCTGAGCTTTGCCAAAAGAGCCTCTTCCTCCCTCAGTCCCTCTCCCTCTGTCACTCTCCGGGCTCTGGTGAGGTTGGATTTCAGTGCTACGTAAACCCTAATGAACGCTCAGGGAATTAAAGCTCAGTGCTTCTGATACCCAACACCCTGCATCTCCCTCCAAGCAGAGCAGCTTCAGGTTAAACAGCATCACTCCTCTGCTGTCAGGGTGGAGATCACACACACAAACACACAAACATGTTTTTTGAATCTTTTCTTGGACCAATCAATGTATCTATTCACTCAAACACATGATCGCTCTCATCCTTCAGGTCACATTTATGGCATGTATTTTTAGCGTTATGTAGCTTTGTCCATACTTTTGGTTGTAATGTTCTTTTTGACTGTTCACTGTAAGTAGCACAGAGTGGCATTACATAATGAACACAAGAGCTCTGAAAACAGTTGAGACCTAAATGTTTATCGCCCAGCAGGCAAGCTTTGAAGTAATAATAGTTGTGTTGGGCTATTATGGGGACTTTTAAACCATCTTTTTCATGAAGATCCATGATTTTTTCTGAGGAAATCAGTAAAAAAAGATCCTAATGTTAAAGAAGATAAAATATCCTATAGAAATAACCTCTTGTCCAGATTCATGCCAAAATTGTACAGGATTTGTCTTGACTCATGTTCCATCCTCAAACCAAGTTTCATGGATATCTGTTCAGTCGTTTTTACGTAACCCTGCTAACAATCCAAATAAGTCAACAATGGACAGGGATAAAAACATAACCTTTACAAAATTAATCAGCAGATTCACAGATGAACAAGCCAAAATATCTCAGATATGAACACTGCCATCTTGTGCATTTGGAATCTGCGGTAGTGACCAGGGGATGGTGCCACTGTATCGAGATGCCACTAATATTTCTAAGCGCAACCAATCGTTCTCAATCATGACGTTTCATCCTGTTTGTACAGCATCAAATGATGAATCAAAGCCAAATTTACTTGATGAACAACAAATCATTTGATGTGTATTTTGACTTTTTCCTTTGGTCCATGCCCCATCCACTAACATTCACTTAATTCCATAAACACCCACAAACACCACCATTTCACATACATCTACATGAATGAGATTAACTACACACTGTAAAATAAATACACAGTGTATGTTGATTTTTGAGCCCATGACTCAAACATTTTCATTTTTACTCACACTGGAGTCTCAGCTGAGATGTTGAGATGTTGAGAGGTGGGGGATGGGGAATGTATGTGTGTGTGCGTGTTTGTATGAAAGTGTGTATTGGGACTGTGTGTGTGTGTGTGTGTTCAGAGAGGGGAGGAGAACTCTACTCTGGGAGATGTGTAGTAATGGGGGAGGGGGAGTGCAGCACCCAGCCTTTCGGTTTCTCATGAGCTGATTGGCCGATTTTGTCTTCTGTACCAGAGGCAAGACCTGGTGAAGGCTGACAACAGAGGCAGCTGACCACACACGCAGTTCCCAGCTCGCCATTGCAGCTCGGCCTGCTGCAGAACATGTGGTGAAGGTGGAAATGATGTAATTTATCACAACATGAAAATGAAACACGGAGCTCATCTCACTGAGGAGCCTCAGCGTGCTCGTCTCTTTGTGTTTACTGTGAAGCCCTCAGGAGCATGGCGTTTACTCCTGAGGGCAAGTGACTGCAACTGTGTTATGCATCAGGCTTCTGTCATTTCTAATATTCTACTCTATCAGCTGGAACAACAATGTGTTCACTGTGATCTGAGGACAGGACAGTGTTTCACAGAGAAGTGGATACCTCTGTTGAACAATTATCTTGATAGTTTGTTCACAGTTTAAAGAGAACCAATTCAAATGTATATGCTATCCATAATTCTCAATCAAAAATAAGGTTAGATTAAAAGTTCGAGGTGATAATAATAATAATAATAATCTTTATTTGTATAGCACCTTTCAAATGAGAAGTGAAGCTCAAATTGCTTCACATACAAACACCACAATATCTTTACTTAGAGGTGTGGAGCTAACACGAAACAACAAACACACAAGTGGTTTGTACAAGTCATCTGACCACCCAACGTTGGGTGGTCTTTACAGCAACAACCACGTTGTCTATTATCCCAGAAACACGCAGAGGAAAGAAAAGACAAATGCACTTGGAACATGGCAGAAGCTTAGGAAAAAAAATAAAATGGGGAAAACCAAATTATGTTATAAAGCAGCAACCAAACATGCGACAGGCTGCAGATTAGAAACACAAGAACGTTTGTCTAACAAGCTCCCAAAACAACAGTGAAGAAAAACGGTGAGACAATGTGCTCCTACTATGGCTCTCAAACCATGGTCGTAGTAATATGAAGTTTATGTCCATTATGTTGTATTTTACTGCCTACAGACATTGTCAACAGACAGTTGATGTGATTCTGATTCAATCCTCATAATGAATTATAAAAGATTTTGGTTGACGGTTCAGTGTAGCACTGTTGAACTTCACAGGACCTTCTGCAGAGTTTTCATGTTGTCCCTGTGTCGGTGTGACTGTGAGTGGTGTTGGTTGTTTGTCTCTAGAAGTCAGCCCTGTGATTGGAGGGATGGATATTTAATTTACTACCAAAAATCCGGACGTCTTACCCAGATCTGTAATTTGATCCTCTTGTCGTTCCTGTAGATGGTCTTCACCTTGAAGTCGATGCCCACGGTGCTGACAAAGGCTGGTGTGAAGGAATCATCGGCGTAGCGGAACAAGAAGGAGGTTTTGCCCACGCTGCTGTTTCCGATGATGAGGATCTTGAACATATAGTCGAAGTTTTGGTCCGAAGACTCCTTCTGCCCGTAGGTTGCTGTTGCCGAGGCCATCTACGGAGGAAAATTAAAACTTTACTCAAATAACTGCTTCTAGATGTGGAAGAGCTCTATGGTTGATGGTGACCTATCCTGAAAATACAAATTTGAATTTCCCATTTAATCCACTTCTGGCACACTTTTTAAAATAAGGTGCTAAAGATTTCATGTTAATTTGATCAGTTTGATAATTTAATCGATTCAGTTATTTTTCTTTCACCTTTCACCAGGGTTGTAAACTGAATATCATTGGACTCTGAACTGTTGGACAAATAAAAAGCTGTTTTAACTGATCTCATTGGTCTATAGGAAACTACAACAGATGTTTTTCACAACATTTTACAATCAGAATTATTAATTGAGAACATAATCAGTGGCATAGATGCAGAAACAGTCATTTATTGATGGTGAATGGAGCCACAAACTGAGGTCATAGTTTGCAGGATGCAAGGACAGTGAGGACATAAGGACACATGAAGGCAATACTCGGAATAGTGCTGTGAGTGCCCTTACATGGAATTCAAATTAATAACTCTGTATCCAAACAGAAAACTAGTGTTTCTGTGAACATTTTGCTGATTCCTGCAGTATTATCATCTTTGTGATTTGATCCACAAATGAACAACACATCCTCATTACATTAGTAGAAAATGTAATCTGTTTGCATATATGTTTCTCAAAAATTACTTGTATTTAAACATAGTTTCCAGGAGACAGGGTTTCCTGGACTGCTTGTTAACAAAGGCAGCGCTCTGAAGTAATGAGCGAACAACACATGCATTAATAAAATGAAACCCTGTCTCACACAGAAAAGGTCATTCAAGACAAAAAGATGAGATTCTATCAACATCTGTTCAACAAAAGCATAACAAGTGACTGTGATTAACATCGCACATTTGCTTTATGGTAATTAATCAAGGCAACATATTGCAATGTCAGGGGAAAAACAGAAAACCCATCTGAGTTTCCTCCATTTGGTGAAACGCTGGAGGTAAATGGTTCAATCCATCACAATCATCTGGGGATGGGAATAATGTGTTGTGCATACAGGAGTGCAAGCAGCTGCAGGACAAGCTCCAAGCTGAAGCTAGTTTGATAAATTGAAGGAGTTAGATATTAATCAGCTGGACATGTTTTAAAGTAAATATCGCTGCAAAGATAAATTCAGTTACTGTCTTAACAGGGTTACTGTGGCCAGCTATCTTCTGCTCTCCCAGTGCATCATCTCAAATGTTAATTTTGCCCAGGTTAGTCAACCTGGTGTTCCATTTAATGGAGGCAGAGCACCTGAAGTGTTGAGACACAGGTAGAGCTGCAGGTACTCTTGTGGATCTCTTATTCTGCAAAGACCTGGTGAATGTTGATGGTAGGAATCCCTTGCTAACAGCTAAAGTTACAATTTAGAGAAGACTGGAGAGAAAGATGTATCCTGACATCTAAACCCACACTGACACCACTAAGAAGTAAGTATATGACTGTGGAAAATTCAGATTTAGTAACCTACACACTCATGAACAACTATGGCAGGTGGTTGAATCTAGGTTATAACCAGGACATGCATCGGTCAGTCTGTGCAGTTTGTTTCAATAACATAAACATGGATTAACAGGGGATTAACATTCTGTGTTTACTCTCAGACTCAAACACAAATGTTGTTCAGTAAAGGATTTTTTTCTCTTTGCTCTGAGTTCATGTTAGCAGGTGCAGACCAGTGTGTGCTCCAGTGCAGGTCCATCAAGAATTAAACACTTTGCACAACACAACCCTGCTCTCATGATAACTCTCCGTCACCAGGGCAGTGAGAGAAAAGGAAAGACAATGATCGCCATCCTTGTGTGTAGACCAGATAGTTTTAAACATTTGAGAAAAAGGGTGCATGTGGTTTATTGAATAAGAATATTTTTCTCTTTAAATGTCTGCGTACAAAATAGACTGAGGTCTTTTGGATAGAGACGGTGCTGGAGAGACTACAGTTTTAATAACCTTGTACACTGCGTCCTCATCAACATTGACAAAAAGAGAAAAGCAGCTTTACTTTGTGCACCTTCTGAACAGAAAAAACAACTCAAGTTAGATTGGAAAAGGACAATATGGTTTCTGTTTTGCAGTGAAGAGCTCTTTTAGTCTGTACACATCTGATCTGAGTTAGACTCTGTTAGTTTCAAATTGTAAACAAATATTAATATAATGTAATAGTAAAACCAGCTTGCCCCAGTAAGGGACATGTAGAAAATCAGAAGTACACAAAAACACCCACATCCAAACTCGATAAGAACTAAGTGCAAGGATCAGAAATGTCCACACAACAGTTGAGGCTCCCACAAACTTTTGAATTACCTCCCAGGTAACATTTCAGGCACAGAGCCTTCTTCAGACCTGGGGGGCATCAGACCTGCTCAAACTGAGAACATGCACAATTTCTAACAATCACTCTGATCATCCAACAGCCAGATTGTTAATCATTTGAAATTGTGAGCTCCTTCAACCTAATTCTAAAATAGGTTAGATAATCAAACTTTTCAAATTCTGAACTTTACCACTGACAAAGATAAGCTGCTTGACTCAAACTCCCAACATTTGCTGTTCTGTAGCAGAGCAAGCTATCATTGAGAATTCAAGGATACGAGGCCCAAAATTATTCAGGAGACCTTGTTGACTCTTAAGAGCAATGACTTTAGCCCACAAGACTTTGACTCCACGTACCCTGCTCTATATTTAGACTATTATCTCCACTCGGCTGCGGTAGAACACTAGAACTCTCAGGGAATAAAGCACAAACAAAACAAGTTCACCCTCCTCCTCACAGCTCCGGCCTATCGGTTTACATGAAGAAACAGAGAGAGGCACGCTAAATAATAAAGAAGCTCCGACCCTTCCTCAACACATTCATGCTTTGTTACGGAATGATGCGAAGAAGACATGTGACTTAAAGCTTGTGTTACATTTAACATAACAGCAAATAGGCAAAAACCGAGGAGAGGACTGAATCATGGAACCAGAACTTACTGAGATGATTGTTTTTATAATTTATGGTCAAATATGTGTAAATAGGATTTTTATTATCATCTTTTTAATCTGAGAACATCAGAATATGCTGCAGCAGCATGGTTGTCAATCTCCATTTAGTTGATGGTAACTTCAGCTCTGCCTGTGACGTCAGGAATAATCTGCAGCCTCGAGCTCCTGTGTTTACTTCAAGAGATGACATGATTTACAGTGAATATTTTTCACCATTAAATAGCTTAATTCCTAAATAAGAAATATATAATGTTAAAAATGTATGTAAAATTAAATTTTAGATTGGATTCACTGATCATTTTAGTTTTTACATATTGTGTTGGAAAAACATGTTAATATATAGACATTGGGAATTCTATTTTCAAATTTAGCATCCGTGTCTTTTGAACAGCGCATGCATTTACACTTGTGAGCGCCCCTTAGTGTGTTGTTCTTAAAATGAGTAAAGGTCATGTGCATTTTTAGCACATTGCTATCTTGAAACAGTGTCGAGCGATTGCTCCAACAAGCTGGTCTGAAGTCAGTGGTGTCTACATACACAAGTACACAATGTGCATTCACTCCATTACACACATTGCGAAGCAGTATTGATAAATGAAAGTGGCAGATTATTTGATCAATCGTGGCAGTACACTGCTGCGCTGTTTCCTCTGCTGAGATGTGTTCTCTTCTACTACCTGGCAAATCCATTATAACTATAATACCAATCCACCAAGGTGCAAATGAATGTGGCTTTGAAAGTAACGGGAGCTGGCACCTTGATTGGTTTATGGAACATTACTCCCAAAACCCACCAATGATTAAATAGGAGCGTATACAACCTTTATTTAACCATGCTCCTGGTGGAGCAATGCTTTTTTTTTTTTTTCATTTGCAGCAAAATTGTACAAATTGAAAATGCCCATGCTCATTCATCTCTCAGGCTGCTGAGCTGCAGCGTAATCACATCCATCATGTGATCAAAATGCTGTAAAATGCTACATATGTATTATCAGTGTCATAGAACATTTTTAAAATAACTTAAACAGAAACAATGACAGAACTAACTAATGATATTCATCTGTATATAATCTGTATGAATTCTTTATTTAGCAGCATGAACCACAACAAATCTAAAAATGCAACACAGACTGTTTTTCTGGCTCTGACTCCAGCAAACCCACTGGAAGCGGGATCACATTTGATCACAGCCAGTGTCTGGTGTTCGATTTCCACTCTGGCCAGCTTTATTAAAAATGTATCCACTTGTGTTACCACTGCACCAAATTGCCTACTCAGCTCGGCAGCTACTTCAGCCCGTCGATGATTTTCTTTGGGCTGAGTCAGCTGTGCTACAGTGAGACAGACCTGGTTTTAGACTTAGAAACATTCAAAGTCTTACAGTAGATTGTATAGTATGTGTAAGCAGGCAACAGTTATTAATAGCAGCGATTAGAGGACATGAAAAATTAGCAGCCACTGTTGGAAGTCTGGATCTTGTCAAACACTTCCACAGGCCTTTGTTGGCATTCAGAAGAGGGTGTTCAGTGTTGGCTGAACGTGGCGAGATTACTGCAGCCTTTCCTCTGCATCCCAGAGATTAGCTGAGGAGCAGAGAGTTGACTTAACCTTCACTAAACACTAATTTGATACAGAAGCTTACAAACGGAGGCCCCTGTGCTTAATCTGAAAGCAATTAACAAATTCTCATTATGCACATGTCTTCCAGGCAGCAGCAATCCACTGCCGCTTTCATTTGTCCATCTTTCCTTTTTGTTGCTGAATGTGCAGACTCATGATCGTGCTTCTCCGCAGGGATCAATGCAGTCTCACCTTCATCATCATTATGAAGTTAAGATTTACATCCATCTATTATCTAGGGGTGCGGGCGTGGACTGCTGCTGCCAATTCCAGTTGACATTAGGCGAGAGGAGGGATGCAGCCTCAACAAGTCACCATGGTAAACATACACAGACATACAATCATTCACTCACATTCACACCTACAGTCAAATTACAGTGTCCCATTATCCTAACCTCAATCTGCACGTCTTTGGACTGTGGGAGGAAGTCTGAGTATGGAGAGAAAACCACAAATCCAAACCGGGAACCTTCATTGTTTACAGTAATCCCTCCAGTAGTTTTTGCGTAGTCCTGCCAACTAACAGACAAATGCAAATGAAAACGTAATCTCTTTGGTGGAGGTAAATATTTCTAAATATAACTCTAAAATGTAATTTCAGCAAACAGTTTGACACTAAATTACACCGATTGCCATTCAAGTATGTCATAATTCAAGTCTAAAGGATTCAGGAAATAAGACAAAAATGATAATAGTGTGATAGACATGTGCCACAGGATTCTGATAGTTCAAAGCTGCAAAAGCAAAAATAAATCTCGAATATTTAAATTATTTTACTGTCGGTACTTCTTCAGCCTTCAATGAACCATCTAGTGTAAGACTAACCACAGAATCAGGACAGTGAGACGAGACTGAATGTCAGATGGGACAAACTGCACAATGGACACTGACAGCAGGAGAATTCATCTCCTCTGTCGTGGAGGGGGAAGGGGAGATGGAGGAAGAGGGGGAGGGGCGTGACTTTATCAGGACTTGTATATTTGAGTTTTACAGTGAAATCCACGTCCCTCATCCAGGTTACTGCTGTTGATTGTAGTTCTGCATGATGGGACTTGACTTGGTTGTCCAAACGTCTACGGTCACATTAAGCGGGGTGTTTGTTCGTGTCTCTGTGCTCATGCTGGGGTGATTCTGATGGTGAGATTCCAATATGAGGCCAGAGAAATAATGATTTCATTGTGACAACACTATGGTAGAAAACTTAGAGGATATCTGCTTCACTCTGATCTCACTAATCATTCTTCAGTCCTTCACTTCACTCTCAGGATTTTCTAACCATCAAACAAGAGGGAGAATCAAAAATTTTTAAACCTGATTTAATCATGACTAAGGGTTGAGACTTTCAGTGTTGGACAATGACATCATCAAGCTCCTCTAAACCTGTCACCTAAAGGAGATTGACGCGCTACAGGAGCTGAATTGATCCCGAGCTAAGTGCTGCTGCAGTCGGTGTACCGGACCCATTTAATCAGCATTGGCTGGCTTCCTGCAGACTCACAGCTAATCTCCAGCTGATCCATGATCACCCAAACACCTTCCAGCTCAGAGATGGTTACTGGGACACCTGCTGAGGTGACTGACAGAGGCATAACCACAACAACACCACCTGATCCCATCGTAGAGAAAAAGGCACATTTTAAGTTTTACTTAAGACACAAGGGGATAATCTTACTGGGGTGAAATTAAATCTGTAAAATGTATAAACTGCTTGGACTTGGGGGGGGGGGTCATGCTGCTTAACTGGATAAGGTAAATATCTTTCTGGAGGAGGTGTTTGTTCTGTAAAATAAGATTTAATATCAATGAATATCAGCAAACATAAATGCAGATACCAATATGTTATTATATTAATTATTGGCCAACCGATAAATCACTCAGGCTTTAATGTATAGCTATCTTATTATATAGTTTTAAATGTCATTTCAGCACGGCTTGTAAAACTAAAATCAATTTAGTCCTGGAGGGAAGTCAGCAGCCATTTGACCTCTGACCTCACGAACAAACTGCTGACATTTGCAGCTTTCCTCTCATCCTGCTGGGCTGTCCTCTCTCTAGGATAAATAAAGTAGTAGCCTATTCTTTTTTTTTTTTATGCCAAAAAAATATTGAGTTATAGACTGGTTTCATATTTATAAATCTAGCACTAAAACTGGACCATTGAAACGCAACCTGATGAAATTCAGGTTTCACAGCTATTGATCACCTGACAACTGATAATCATTGACTGTGAAACTACAGAGAAGATGTCTCCTCAAAGCAGTTACTTCGCGGTTGCCTGAGACTGCAATTTTTTCCCCTTTTTGCTCCAATCACGTGTCTCCTTTTCTTGGAAGCCTGGGGATGCAGATGAGGAGGGTACGCTAAAAATAGCATCTCTTCATCTTTTTTTCCTCCAAAGCAAACAGAGAGCAGAGAGGGCAGCAGCCAGCATGAGAGAGATGTGTTTGGGGCTGGACTTGGCAGGTGAATTCAGGACGTTCGTAAAGCAGTTTAAATTATTTTTCTTTTATTTGATACGTTTAGAAACAAACTGTATGTGTAATTTTTTTTAATCTTCATTCGATTAAAATCTCTCAGATGTTGAATCTCACGATTAACAATCTGTAATGTAACAAAAGGCTTCAACCCATCTAGTCTGGGTTGGATCCCCGGGCGACGTGGACATGTGACCACGTGTTTTTTTTTTAAAGAAACAGCAGTTGCGTCACTACTGCCCTCAGGTCTGACTGCCAGTAACTTTCCTGACAGCAGAGGAAGAGCAGATGTGTCCTGCAGACTGTGAGCTCATCACATTCAGACTCTTGAAAATGATGAAACATCTTCACGGTTGTGGACAGATTTGGGAAAATTGGCCCCTAGGTGCAGACATATCAAACGGCCCTCAAATCTTCCTAAACCGAATCCCTGGTGTACAGTTGCAGAGTGGTTTTGTCATTTTGTGGTTATTTTGAGTCTTTTTAAGTTTGTTTTCTATCTCTTTGTGGTTATTTTGCATCTTGTTGTAGTCTCTTTGTAGTTCTCTTGAATCTTTATAATCTGTAATCTGTATTTGTCTTTATGCTACTTTTGTGTTTTTGTGGTCAATTTGTCTTTATTTGCTCATTTTGCATCTCTTTGCAGTCATTCTCACTCTTTGTAATAGTTGTGTGTCTGTAAACTGAGCCCTGTGGCATTCAAACAATAAATATTGTCACTGCACACATATATAGGTTTTTGCTTAGGCCCCCATCCCCCGGACCCCTTGAGCTCCTGAGCCTTTGCCCAACAAGCCTGTTTGGTCATTTGTGTATATTTGCTAGTTCAAAGAATTTAACCTAACCTCTGCTGCAATATAGTTAAAATATTGGGGATTAAAAGTACAGACTCTAATGTACATCATAACCCCACATTCTGCACAAACACAATATCCACTAATGTAGCTAACATTTAATTCAGCAGGAGATTGAATATGTTGAATATTTTCCCATTCAGCTTGTCTCTGCGGTATAAATATTTATTTTGGCCACTCCCAACACAGAAGGTCAATTTACTGCCGATTCTCTGGATTTTTCTTTTCCTGCTCTGAACTGTGCTGTTGCGGTATAGAGAGCACACACACTCGAGGCAATTCAATTGAAAGCACAAAGCAAGATTATTTTACCACAGGAACCCCACAGTCCTGCATATGGTCCAACGTAACATGTTACACTGACATAATATTCCTACAATCATCCTAATATTCAGATAGATGTGAAGCTATAGTATACAGTGGTGAACTGAGGTTATTTCATTATAATAATCATGAATGAACATTATTAGAAAACGACTGATAATTAAATAAATAACAAAAAATAACACGATTACTCTGCTCTAGTTTTCTTTATGAATGGATAACAGGGATTAAATGGTATTCTGCTATTCTAGGTCGAAACCCATTTATTTATTCATGCTTTAATTTCAACCATCGGACGGTGTGAAACGCCTTTTCCTGCAGGACAGGCCCTGAGTCCACCCAGAGATCCAGTAAACCAGCAGCAGCCTGCACATGCATCCACACTGAGAACACGATCAAACATGCACCTGACACATCTGGGACGGTTTCACGGTTTTCACGATGAAAACTGCTGCTCTGAAGCAAAATATTAGAGGTTCTTCAATCTGAAATCCTTCATTTGATATTTCAGCATCAAGTAAAAGATAAATACAGGACACAAAAGACTGTCAATGTAGACGTGTGTTTTATATCACTGTGCAATTATTCAATGAATAAATAAAGACAAAAATCTCACCTTTATAGATTTCTATCTGGCTGCTATCCACCGCGTCCAGCACCCGCACAAACACCACCACAGTCAAGTAAGAAAGGCTTTAATCAGCATCCGGATGAGATTTCCAAAATAAAAGCCGTCAAAGGAACTGTGGTTACAAATAAATTAAATGTGACAATATTGTTTTTTTTTCTGTTTTCTTTTTTAAAAGGAGATGCATATTTACCAGTGTCATTCTAATATGCAGCATTGCTTTGTAGTTCTCTTCACTCATTCCTCTCTTAACAGGTCAGTCCCCTGCACTGTTTTTAGGATACACATGGCTTATTGAATTTTAAAAGGTCCAGTGTGTAAGATTTGTGAAAGGGATCTATTGGCAGAAATTTAATGTAGAATAATCCTCATGATTTTTTCACTAGGTTGTTTCACCTAAATTATATGAACTGTAGTTTTCTTTACCCCAGAAAAGACCCTTTATATTTAAATACTTTATATTTACATCGAGGGGACCCTCTCTACGGAGGCCAACCATGTTTTTTACATTAGTCCAGACTGAACAAACATAAACATCTTTTGAGTTTTTATGACAATTAACGGCTACCACAGGTTCTTTTTCATGTTTGGAAGGAGAGGGTGAGGTGAGGGGTGATCAGCTGCAACATGCAGTTTCAACACTAGATGTCACTAAATTCTACACACTGTACCTTTCAGCTCGTTGCTATTTGACTGGAAGCCACTCTGCAGTTTTATTTTGAAAGAGAGGTCGTTTCCAGTCCTGCGCAGCTCCGCCATTTTTACGCAGGTCGACATAAAGTGAATGGTGAGTGGGCGGGATCTTTAAAGGGCCGATTGACAGCGCGTCTGACGAATCCGGAGCCGCGGTCCGGGCGACTGTCCTGAAACGCTCCTCCTCAAATAGTCAACCTGTTATGAGTTATTGATGAGACACTGAATTATTGATCAAGAGGTCAGCGGTAACCACTGCTGCCATTTCCACCAATAACTGAAAAATATCTCTGCATTAACTTTTCAGTGGTGTATGAATACTGTATTTTAAAGTTTATGTATTTAGCCTGTATAAATATTTTCTTTCTTTAGACTCGATTCATTTAGTCTTTTTGTTGTGTTTATTTTTATTTTGTTGTTGTTATTTTATAAAATTTACATTCTTAGGTATGGATGAACCGGGGTGTGGGAAATGTTTTTTGTTTGTATCTTTATTTGTTTGCTTGCCATGGATGAATAATTCTTCCACAAAATATAAAACCTGGTTTGGACAAGAAACGTTTTAAGATCCACGTCCCGATTGTGCATCAGTGGAAGTTTGATATAAGCTTGATTTGTTTTTTTTGGGTGGGCCAAGCATCCTATTGGAGGAACTTACGCAACCTGGAAACCCAAAGTTATTATTATTAATGTTTAAAGCTGATCTACGAAGTAAGCTGTTTAATAACCATAATAAATCATTCCAGCTCAAACTCTTTATAATGGTGCCTTGTCAGGTTCGAGACCATATATATGAATACATCTCTCGTGTGTTAGAAACTTTGACTTTGATGTGTCTGTTGTCTTTTAATTCAATCCTTGATGATAAAAAATAAACAATATTGATCTTCACCGAGGTTCTTCCTCCTCTGACCACTGCTCCTCCACGCCACCAGATGGCGCTGGGGTATTTGTTATGCTCTCCAAACCGGTTTTGTGTGAAGTTTGTTTCACGTTCAGACTGTGTTTACTGAAACTGTGGTGAGAGTAACATCCAGATTAGTGGTATGAGAGAAAACTGGTTACATTTGGGATTATGGCTGTAATCGGGTTAATCTCTGGTTAAAACGACCGGTCGTTGTTAAGGACAAAGATAGCCTCATGTTAAAAGTGTTTGTGAAACTGACTTCTACCCAGCACTGACCCGGGGTGTCACGGGGGGTCGATGCCGGATCATGGAACAGATGAAATGAGTTAATTCTGAGGTAGAAGTCAGTGTTTGGTTTGTGTCCGGTAGAAAAACGTGGCATTAAACTGGTTGTTTCCGGCCTCACGGTCTGAGCAGTGGAGCCGTTAATCCTGTGTTCAGTTAGCCTGAAAGCTAACTAGCGGCTAACGCTAGCACCGGGAGCAGAAGCTGGTCAGTGAACTCGAGTGTTCAATAATTTAAGCGTTGAATAAAAGTGAATTGTAAAATAACTCGTAAAGCTCCATTCTCTCAGGCACAGGATGGAAGAGAATATTATTATCATATATTTAGTTCTAACACACAGAATAAAACTGGGTTGGAGAGTTTGAACATTACCATGGACTCTGTTAAACTGTAATGGACCTCCTGTAAAATCGAGTGATAATAAAACCACGTGTTGGTTAATGGATGCTGAATATAATAGTTGCAGCCATAGTTTGACTGCATGAGGTTTGAACTCAACACTGATTCAAAGTTAAGAAACTTAGACCAGACTCATATTCATTGATTGTTTTTTGAAACCTCTGTGTTGGATGTGTAGTATCCTTTGAAAGCCGATCATCCACGAATGTCTTCATGAATCAATGAGTAACTCTTACAGATATAGCCTCCTTGTTGAGTGTGTATTCACCGAGCATTTTATTAGGAACAGAACACATTACCAATGCTTGTTATTTCTTTGCAGATGACAGGACTCTCTCCACGGTCCAAACATCATGCTTCCCCAGGCGGGTAAAGAGTTTCTGGTTCGGATACAGTTCTTCTGGCGGCCGTTTTTCCAGGGCCGGTACCTGCTGCTCACCAACACCCTGAGTGGAGGAACCATGCTGGCACTGGGAGACTGTCTGCAGCAGAGCCGTGAGATCCGCAGAAAGCCAGACACAGTCAGAGACTGGAGGAGGACAGGTGATATTTCTCTTGTGCATGTATTATCTTTTGATACCCAACACCCATGTGGTGGCTCATGCACACTGCTCTCGGACCAGAGATTGTTTCACTCAAGAGTAAAAGAACTGGAAGTCAGTCCTTGCACTTCATCAAATTCGTTGAAATACTTGATCTTGATAAACATTGGCTTGTTGATTTGTCTTTGTTCCATCAGTCACTTTCAGCTGCCAATCAACCAATAATTCTGGTTTTACAAATCAGTTTGAGGAGAAATGGGTGATTTAGAGGAAATTTAATTTAAAATAATTTTAAACATTTATAAGCCCATTCTGAATAACCTGTGTTTGAACAGCCTTGTTGCATTGATGCACAGGTCTACTCCAGGACCTTGTGGCATCAATGCTGAGTGTGGTCAGAGGTGAAACTCTAAACTTCACTACAGGGCAGTAAAACACTGCTCTGCACAGCCTGCTATTATCCTTTAAACATTTATGTTTGAAATCTTTAATGCATAATGTTAATGTGTTCGTTTTCCTGTGCAAAAAATTTTACTTAACTAAGAGAAACTAGATTTACAGCAAAAATGTAAAC